GGAAAAAGGAAGCCGAAACCAGCCCTTGGGTTACCTCCGTAGACCACACCAAACTGACCGGAGCCCAGGACCTCATCTGGAAATATCTGGTAGACGGTGGAGATGTCCTGCAATGGGACAAAGAAGAGGACACCTCTTGAGGTCACCTTCAGCAGGAGACGAGGTCGAAGAATGAGCTTCAGAAGAAGAAAGATGGTGGCCTGTAGGACACTCACCACGTTCTCCTGGACTTGGCTGTTGGAGACGGAGATCCTCAAAGAAGCTTGTCCTGGAGGAGAGGGGGCAAAAAAGACATTAACCTTCTCCAACTCTTCATCACACAATCTCTGACAATCTCGCACATCCTCGCACAACTTCACACAACCTCTCACAACTTCACACAACCTCTCACAACTTCACACAACCTCTCACAACCTCTCACAATCTCTCACAACTTCACACAACCTCTCACAACTTCACACAACCTCTCACAACTTCACACAACCTCTCACAACCTCTCACAATCTCTCACAACTTCACACAACCTCTCACAACTTCACACAACCTCTCACAACTTCACACAACCTCTCACAACCTCTCACAACTTCACACAACCTCTCACAACCTCACACAACTTCACACAACCTCGCACCTCTCACAATCTCTCACAACCTTGCACATCCTCGCACAACCTCTCACAACTCACAACTTTACACAACCTCTCACAACCTCCCACAACTTCGTACATCCTTGCACAGCCTCTCACAACTCACAACTTCAGACAACCTCTCACAACCTCTCACAACCTCGTATATCCTCGCACAACCTCTCACAACTCACAACCTCTCACAACTCACAACTTCACACAACCCCGCACCTCTCACAATCTCTCACAACCTCGTACATCCTCGCACAACCTCTCACAACTCACAACTTCACACAACCTCTCACAACCTCGTATATCCTTGCACAACCTCTCACAACTCACAACTTCACACAACTTCTGACAACCTCGCGCCCTCGGCTTCCCCAAGGGAAGTCGATGGGGAAGCCAGCAGAGAGGTTTGCAAGCGACGGTCATGTGACTTTGTGCTTCCCGACCTCAAGGGATTCGCTTAACGTCCACACCTGCAACAGGGCGGCTGTGCGCCCTGCCACTTTACAACTGCCTCAATTGCAAATAGAGCTGCCGGACTCGACTGTGGTCGGTAAGCGAGGACCCCCTACCTAGGCAAACGTTACCCGTCCAGGCGGTACTTACTATGGGGGGGCTGTCCCTGGGCAGCCGGCACCCCCTGCAGGACGACGGGCATGAGGGCTTGGCGAAGGGCCGTCTCCCAGGCCTTGGCGTGTTCCAGGCCATCCCCGCCATGCTGGGGGGCGCTGGGGGCGCCGTTCTCGCCCACGTAGTAGGTGGCGTTAGCGGTAATGATCTCAAAGCAGTGAGGGTTTGCGCCGGACGGCACGAGGGAGAAATCCTGAGCCGGCTCGACGGTTAAGATCTCCGACAAGGGGATTTCCTGGGAAGGAGAAAGGACAATCAGCCAGCCCTTCTTCTCCACAGCTACGTCCTCGCTTTACGGCCGCAACCCTTCAAAGTTACGTCAGACACCTCCCCCAAAAAGGTGTTTATGGCCTGGTTCTGAAGTCCTGACCTCATATTTGGCTCATTCGCGGCTGTTCGGAGGGTCCGGTGAGGCTTACAACATTTTTTGCAACCCCCCAAAAAATTATTTATTTCCAGTTACAGGCAAAAACACCACTAGCGAAGCAGGGGTTCAAGTGGAGGCTGTGGGAAATGCTTTTATCTGGCTCTGGGGAGGGGGTGGAGCAGATGACCTCAAGCGGTCCCCTCCTCGCTCTGGAATCCTCTATTTATTCGCCTCCTGGGCTGTGGGAGGTCAGCAGCTCCTAATCTGTTCGTTTTTTTTTCTACCAAAAGTTTTCAGCTGAGAGAAGAAACTCCCCCCGCCCCCCCCAATAAAGGGCCGACTCCCCACTTTTGCCCCTCTCCTGGAGACCCCGAGGAGGAAGGCCCACCTTGTAGTAGCGATTGCTACTGTTGTTCTGGAAGAGCGTGAGGCACTTGCTGTCCAGCCGCCAATAATGACGTTTTCTCTGCAAAGGGGGGAAAATAGAAACTGTTTAGGGATTGGGGAGGGGCCGGAGGAGAGGAAGGGGCTTCTCTCGCGATGAAAGGCCCCCCTCTTTGCCCAGCCTTCTAATAAACGTGAAGATAGGTGGACTTCAACTCCCAGAATTTCCCTAGCCAACAAGCTGTTGAACTGATAGATGGGTGGACTCCGATTCCCAGAATTCCCCAGCTAGCAAAAAGATTAAGATGTGTGGACTACAGCTCCCAGAATTCCCCAGTCAGCATGCTAGCAACCTTTAAGATATACGGACTACAGCTCCCAGAATTCCTTAATCAGCATGCTAGCAAAATTGAAGACCTATGAACTACATCTCCCAGAATTCCCCAGTCAGCCTGCGGTTGAAACTGGAAGATGAGTGGACTTCAACTCCCAGAATCCACAGCATGCGAGCAACCTTTAAGATATACAGACTACAACTCCCAGAATTCCCTAATCAGCATGCTAGCAAAATTGAAGACCTGTGAACTACATCTCCCAGAATTCCCTAATCAGCATGCTAGCAAAATTTAAGTCCTATGAACTACATCTCCCAGAATTCCCCAGTCAGCCTGCTGTTGAAACTGGCAGACGAGTGGACTTCAACTCCCAGAATTCCCCATCTTTTTCCATCACCAAGCTTGAGAACCTCCGCTCTAGAGCAAGGGTGGGGGTCTCCCAACTTGGCCCCTTGAAGACCTGTGGACTTGGGGCTCCCAGAACCCCCCAGCCCCTGGGGAAGGGGAGAGCCCCTCCCTCTGGCTCACCAAGGGGTCCTTGTTGCTGAAATGCACCATCCAGCCTTCCTTCAGGGCCGTGCTCGACTTCCGCGTCGTCTGGCGGACGGACTGCACCACCCGCATCAGGGGGATGTACCCCATGGAGCTGAGAGGGGGGAGGGGGGAAGAGGGGTGCACAGGTCAGCACGGTTGAGGGTCGCAGGGGGAAAAGAGGAGGGAGACTGACGCACACTCCTGTCCCGACATTCACAGCCCGTAATGAGTCACAAGCGGTTTGCGAAGAGTCCTACAGAAGTCTGCCAAAGTCTTTCAGGGTAAGGCTGATAAGCAACCCGCCTTTCTCTCCCTTGAAACGCTGCCAGAGACCGAATTGCCAATTAGCTTTGCAAAGCCAAAAGGAGCACAGAGTCAAACGGAAGTTCTCAGCGTTTGAATGGACCAGCACGAACTAAGTTGCTTCCTGCAAAGGCTCGTATCTGTTTCCTCCTCTTTTATGTCTTATGGGAAGGGCCACTCATCTCCAAGCCTTACTCCCGAGTCGCCCCTTTTGTCTTAACTGTTCTAGCCTTCCGGCAGCTCTACTCATGCGCACACTGGGAACAGGCTCCTCCTGTTCTTCTGCCTCGTTGAACATAACTCCCAGATGGCCCTGGCCCCCTCTCTGCCTCCGACGCACAGCCCTCGTCCGAGCCTTCCCCGGACTCCAAACTGGCCCAGCTTCCTCCCCAACCTCCTCATTGTCCGACTCTGCTGCCACTGGTGGACCACAACGACCCCCAGTGGGAAAAGAAGAGCCCCCCAAGATGGGGAGGGACTCGCTGGAAGTCCTGGAAAATCAGAATTACTGAGGGCTACGAAACTGGGAGAAGAGGATTCGTAATACAGGTAGTCCTCGATCTACGACCAGAATTGAGCCCCCGAGCCAAGAGGATGGCGCACCCGGGATCTCTGCCTCACCTTTGGGATTTCTGGAGACTCTCCACGTCTTCGTCCATGCGCAGATCGTTCTCTGAATGGGATCCGGGGATGATCCCGGAATCGTCGGACTCATCCATGAGCGAGTTCTTATCCGCCTCGCTGAGATCGCTCGATTCTTCCATCGGCATATCTGGGGGAAGGAGGAACAGGAATCCATTGAGGCAAATCCAACCCTTGATTCCCAGGCGCATCAGGTTTCTAGTCCTCAAGGCTCAGGGATAACCAGTAATTGCCAGAGATCTACTAATCCTGAGGCGTTCCGGTCGCAGGTATCTCGAAACGGTCAAACGAGGGTACCAAAGAGGTGGTCCTCACCTTACGACCACGGTGGGACCAGGATTCCCTGTGCTAAGGAAGGCAGTGGAGGGCATCGTGCTCACCTTTATGACCTTTAAGCAAATCACGGCCGTTGTTAAGTGAATCGCGTGGTTAGAAACAGTGCCGGAAGGTCAGCTCCGCAACGTGCCCCCCTGCCTCTCCTGGAATAACCCCTCTCCCCCCTCGTCAAGAGCCTCTTCCCTCTTGCCCCACCTGCAGCACAAAACGCCTGTGGAACTCACCGCCACCATTAAAGGAGGCCTCTCCCAGGCAGTCGTTGGGCACACGGGTCGCACAGCGCTTGTGGCAGTTGAATTTGCAATCTGGAGGGGGAGTTTGGGGAGGGGAGAAAGAGAGAGAGGAAGCCATTTTTCAGCCCCCTCCCCAAAAGCCCACTTGCTTTCCCAGCCTCCACGGAAAAGGGGTGTAATGCCATCAGCCGCCAGCAGGGGGAGGCCAGGAACAAAATGGGTGCTAGCTGTGTGCAAAGCCAGCCTCTGCCCTGGAAGGCTGGGAATATCTGGTAGCAGGGAGTTCCCCATGCCCCCCCCCCCGCCCCCCGCGCGTGTGTGCTCCCCTCCTGACCTTTGCACTGGAGGCCCTGGCGGAAGAGGCCCTTCAGGAGCTTCTTGCAGAACTGGCAGACGGTGGGGCGGGTGTAGGAGTGGATGAGGAAGGTGTGGGGCACCTTCACCTTGGAGAGGAAGAGCTTGTCCAGCTCTATGGGGCGGCCGATGTAGGTGGAGGAGGTCAGGCGGCGGGGGAAGAGCTCCGTGGAACTCCGGCTCTGCGCCAGGGACGAAGCAGAAGGAGGGAAAGGGGATCAGAGGAGACAGAGAGGAGGGAGGGTGGGGAGAAAGAAGGAAAAGAAGGAGGGAGGGAGAAAGGAAAGAGAGAGAAAGGAAAGAAGGAAGAAAGGAAGGAAGGAAAAGAGGGAAGGAGGAAGGGAGGAAAGAAGGAAGGAAGGGGGGAAGGAGGGAGGAAAGAAAGAAGGAAGGATGGAGGGAGAGTGGGAGGAAAGAAGGAAGGAAGGAAGGAAAAGAGGGAGGGAAGCAAGGAAAGGAAAAGAGGGAAGAAGGGAGGGAGGAAAGGAAGGAGGGAAGGAGGGAGGAAAGAAAGAAGGATGGAGGGAGAGTGGGAGGAAAGAAGGAAGGAAGGAAAAGAGGGAAGGAGGGAAAGAGGATCAGGGCAGGGAGAGGAGAGGAGGGAGGGTGGAGAGAAAGGAAAGAAGGGAAAGAAGGAGGGAGGGAGGGAGAAAGGAAGGAAAGAGAGAGAAAGGAAAGAAGGAAGAAAGGAAGGAAGGAAAAGAGGGAAGGAGGAAGGGAGGAAAGAAGGAAGGAAGGGGGGAAGGAGGGAGGAAAGAAAGAAGGAAGGATGGAGGGAGAGTGGGAGGAAAGAAGGAAGGAAGGAAGGAAAAGAGGGAGGGAAGCAAGGAAAGGAAAAGAGGGAAGAAGGGAGGGAGGAAAGGAAGGAGGGAAGGAGGGAGGAAAGAAAGAAGGATGGAGGGAGAGTGGGAGGAAAGAAGGAAGGAAGGAAAAGAGGGAAGGAGGGAAAGAGGATCAGGGCAGGGAGAGGAGAGGAGGGAGGGTGGAGAGAAAGGAAAGAAGGGGAAGAAGGAGGGAGGGAGGGAGAAAGGAAGGAAAGAGAGAGAAAGAAAAGAAGGAAGAAAGGAAGGAAAAGAGGGAGGGGAGCAAGGAAAGGAAAAGAGGGAAGGAGGAAGGGAGGAAAGAAGGAAGGAAGGAGGGAGGAAAGAAAGAAGGAAGGATGGAGGGAGAGTGGGAGGAAAGAAGGAAGGAAGGAAAAGAGGGAAGGAGGGAAAGAGGATCAGGGCAGGGAGAGGAGAAGAGGGAGGGTGGAAAGGAAAGAAGGGAAAGAAGGAGGGAGGGAGGGAGAAAGGAAGAAAGAGAAAGGAAAGAAGGAAGAAAGGAAGGAAAAGAGGGAGGGGAGCAAGGAAAGGAAAAGAGGGAAAGAGGAAGGGAGGAAAGAAGGAAGGAAGGAAAAGAGGGAAGGAGCAAGGAAAGGAAAAGAGGGAAAGAGGAAGGGAGGAAAGAAGG